TAAGATATGAAAGATGGGAATAGAAGTGATAGAATGACTAGCTCAGGCTAATATCATCTACATACAACGCTATAATGCAATAATGAAAGCTCTCATATCAATATTGGTATTAAATACAAAATGACAACTTACCTCCTCTTATCTTTTTTGTGGTCGCTGTAAAAACAGCAATCAAAATTTTAATACGATTCTTTATACAATTTGTTTCGTTTTTTTCGATGATTAAACGGACCCATTATGCCAAATTAAGTATTTAATTTATTCCATAAAATATAGTAAAAACAAAGAAACTGACTCAATCTCAAAACAACTATTAAAAACTACTACAGCTGCCGTTTTTTTTTTAAATTAAAAGTTTCTAGAAATTTCTTTAAACTTGAAATAGATAATGATGAACGATTTAACAAAAATCACTAAAATTATGATCATGTCAAATTTTTCGTTTTTATTTTCAAATTCCTTAACAAATTAGCAAAGAAATTTAAATAAACAAAACAAAAAGTAAAATAATGAATAAACATAAATAAATATAAACAATTTTAAACACTTGTAGATGTTGGGAGTGAAATCTGTTTAATAAGATTTTAAACGAAAATATAGCAAAATTTAAACTACTACTTAAAACTATTAAGAAGTCAACGAGCTATCAATGCCAACAAATTATTTGCCAAAAACTAAAGCAGCTCATGTATCTTGATATACAACTTTGATCTGTAGTTTAAGAATAACTAAGAAACTAAGCGATATTTATTGTATTGATCTTGTTGGGAAGTCTCACTGCCCGGCTGGTGGTTTAACCAGTCCATCATGATGACGATGTGAATTTTGAAATATAATTGATTGTTCAAATATTAACTGATTCATATTGTCCAGTTAACTATCGACATTTTTATTGTTTGTTTGTTTATTTGATCTTTAATGATCAATTATATTTGTTTTTTTTTTTTTTTTTTTTTGAATATTTAGTGAGTTTGTACATATTTTACATTCCTTAAAGTGAGAGTATTTATCATATGTTTGGAGTTTCGGTTACTTTACATTTAAAGGCATGATTTGTATAACTTTAAGATAAAAACAATTGCGGTTTTAGACGATCTTAAGATTTTTTTAAATTAAAACATTAATATTTTGACGTCAAAGTTTAAAAAAAAAAGAAATTATGTAATTTAATTTACATAAATTAAAACTTATTGTTTAAATAAATAAACAATAAGTTTGTTTTCTTTTTATTTTGATAAACAAAATTTTTGTTTAACAAAACTATTTCAACTTTTCTGATCCTGAACTTCCAGTTAGTTTTATGTGTTCAGCAGCCGCTGTAAGACAAGTAAGAGTTTTATATGTATACGGTTCTTAACGAATCGATTATTTGTATAACTTAAAAATGAGTAGTTCAAAACTGATGTCGTATCTTTTGAACGCGTACTTTTGTATTTAGTAACTTACGGACGGACATATCTATTCTCACTTAGGTAATGAAAATGTAGAATTTTATGTCAACAAAGGGTCAGATGCGGGAAATTTTGCTTTAATTTAAAAGAAGTGCCGTTAAAGTACACCGATTGCTCACCGAAACTTTGGGGAATATGTTCCATCAGTTTCAACGAGCGAAAGATGATTTGTGTGATTCAAAAGTGGCGATTTTGGCACAGAAGGCAATAATAGCTTATGCTAACCAGGAATGTTTGAAGGGCAAGAATTTGAGTCATTTCTCTAGGAGGATTGTTATTAACTCAACAAGAGCTTACAAAATCGTTGGGAGCTATTCAAGCAGAAATTTTAAAAACGTTTGTAAGCATCAGGATCCACCCAGAAAACAACAGAAATAATATAATTTTTGTACCGAATCATTACATTTGATAAAAACTCGATCCACTGCGATAATCCGAGGCGTCAGTGATCATATCTGAAGCCCGAGTAACAAGCCGAATCGCCACCAAAGCCAAATATCTATGGCTCTAAGGTAATGCTCTTTATTTGGTCAGAACAAAAAAGAGAAATCTGCTGCTGTGATTTGGGAATCTGTAGCGAATGTAACAGAATCGTTTAAGGAGTAAATTGGTCGAAAATCGCATAGTATATGCAAGCACATACTGTTAAAATCCAAGTAGAAAGAAGAGTCTGGAAAGTTTTTTACCGTTCGACTACTTTTTGTTTCGATCGTTGCAGAACACTCTATCCCTGATATGCGTTACTTCAGAACAGGGTGGAACCGGAGAAATGTTGTTCATTCCACTATATAGATGATCAATGTTCAAAAGCGGCATCGATCTCTAGGCAAATTGATCAAAGTAGGTCATGTCATCACGTACCCAATCGAAATGTTCAGAAATTGTAAAACATTGATCCCAGATAGAGGAACATAATCACATGGAACATTAGAGATAACATCCGTAAGAATCTGTAGCTGCACGGATGGTTTTAAACCAGCTTCCAAGCTGAAGTTCGTGCTTTTACTGAATGTGTATAATGGACTGAATTTTATATATATAGCGGAGGCAGATGTTAAGGTATTTTCCGAAAAGAACAAAAGAGCAATCGAACAAACGAAAAGCTTGAGTCTAAAACAGTCTTCGACTGTATGAAAGCTGTATGTCAGACCCTCTTCTTGGTGTATTGTAATCCCGGGGTAAAGAGGTGCTACCAGTACCTCTAGTCTACCGGGACTATAAACTGATGATGTCAATTCACTCCTTCGATAGTCCTTGGTATTATTTGACATGAGGTCTAACCAGAGAACCACATAATCTGATACTAAGGGTGGCCAGTTGCCTGCAGGACTTGTCCTGGTCAGTTGATTGAAGTTCCTTCGGGATCCACGTAGTATCTGTGGTTTAAACCCAAATTCGCGGGAAGAGAATGTTAGTTTAAGGACTGATATATCCTATACATAATGCGTTGCCACCTGATTTCTTCAATGAAGGATTCAGGGGCGATGGTTGACAGTTCTCAAGGGGACCCAGTGGACGAAAAAGACCACCGTGAAATAAGGCCCTCAAAAGCCCTGATGACAAAGAAAGCGGGTATAACAGCATGATTAAGAGAATCGCATTCAACCAGATGGGATAATGGAACGGTTGGTGGAAAAACTTATGAGCTAAACCAAACGAAAGGAGAACGAAAAGTCTGCTTAGCAATGTTATAACGGATATAACATCCTTAAGAAACATTGATTGGAAAATTTGTAGGACTTACATCCCGGAGACAGAGTTTCTAAACCATCATACAATAATTCCACTTTAATGGTGATTTAGTCATCAAAGATGAAGCGCAAAACAGGCTCGATAGTGGTCTAGGTTTAAGATTTGATCATTAAAATCTTTCTTCGTCGCTGGCTTTGATGAGTTGATCTCTAAAGGTCGAACTATAGCTACATATTCCACAAATCACAACAAGTTCTTTGATTAGAATATCGATCTAGTATAGTTTTTAGAGATTACAGTTGTGAACTGACTGAGGTCATACCAAATATATAGAGAGAGATTATTCGTATTTCAGATACTACCAGTCAGGCACCATTTATTTAGCTCATCCTATGTGGTTCTAGGTAACCGGTTATCAATCAAAAGTTGTATAACTGTAGAACAAAATATTAGTAAAATTGGATTACTTATTTACCCTTTTTTGAACGACGAAATCAACCGACTGATCAAGGGCCATATACTCTCGATATCTGAGTTGTTGATTATCCGAACTGGCAAACTTAAACTTAATAAGAATATTGATCTCTCTCTCTTCTCAATTTTCTTGATCACAGGAAATATGGATATAAGAAAACTTTGCGAAACATTGGATTCAGGAGTTCTATTACAATTGTGGGCTAAAGAGTAGGTTCTTACATACAACTTAGGGCGGCGTTGCACATTAATACTGATCAACATTTCGAATATTGATCTTTCTCTTCTCAATTTTCTTGATCACTGGAAATATGGATAAATGAAAACTTTCCGAAACTTTGGGTTCCAGAGTACTATTACAATTGTTGGCTAAAGAGTAGATTCTTACATACAACTTTGGGCGGCGCTGCCCTGATATGCTGATCAACATCTTGTGTGATCGACGTAAAAACGTTGGGTTCAATAGACTTCTCTGAATGTGGGCTGATGAGACAATTGCTTCTGACGACAAGGGACATACCTATACTCTTGATATGTCAGTTATTGCTCATCAGGATTAGCATATAAAAATCGAATCTGTAGGGAAGAAATTTTAAAATGAAAAGTACAGTCTGATCTTACGTTGATAAAAACTTGCATCAGTTTAATAACATAATCGAGATTGATCAACTTTCTTGATCAATGGAAATATGGATTAAAAAAAGTGGAAACTTTGGGTTCAAGAGTGATATTACAATTGTGGGCTGAAGAGTAAGTTCTTAAATATAACTTTGAGCGTTGTTGACACCGATCAACATCTTGTGTGATCGGCGGAATTTGACAATCCCTGGTTACAAAGTCGACCGGCTGATTGTGGTGCGGCTTTCTTGTGATAATGTTGGGCTCAATAGGACATCTATGAATGTGAGCAGACAATTGCTTGTGACCTCAACGGACATATCTATACTCTTGATATCTCAGTTGTTGATCATTACTCATTTGACTCATTTAAAATGAGTGGTGCAGTCTGATCTTACGTTGATCAAAACATTCCTCTTCCTCAACTTTCTTGATCACTGTAAATATGGATTAAAAAAAACTTTGGGCCCATTGACACTGATCAACATCTCATGTAATCGGCGTAATATGACGATCACTGATCATTTGGCTAGAAGACTTTGCATGAGATTTCATTTATTTTAGATATATGCACCATTACCCACTGTAGGGTAACAACCAGTTTGTCTGCTTGTCTGTTTTTTTTTTTCACACCAACTACTACTAATAATCATTTATCTTATTTACCACCTTAGAGTCATTTAAATATCTAAATAAACAATCAAAATAAATTATATTAAATTGATATCTCAAACAAGTACCATTTTTTCAATTTTTTTTTTTTTCAAATATTTTATTCAACAAATGGTTTTTAATATTAATGTGTAAAAAAAACTAATATTATAATTATATAATTGTTGTATGATAATTATGAGTTATTTATAAATGAGTTTAGACAAAATTTCCGTATTTTTTTGATATTTTGAATTTTAGCAAACATTTTTTTTTTGCAAATACGGAAATTATAAATTGTCTCTTAAACTAAACGTAACGGCTAATAAAAATACATTATTAATAATAATGAAAATCATTGTTGTTTAAAACTAATACTAAACCACACAAATGTTAACTTATATAAAAAAAAAAAAATAAAAAATTCACAGTTTTTTGTTCCTTACATAAACTAAAATGAATAAATTTAATTTTCATACATGTCTTCATAGGGGAATTTCTTAAAAATGGGCGTTAATATGCTCTTCATAACGTCAGCAATGGCCACATGTATAGAGGGTTGCAATTCGGTCCAGACATCAAACCAATTTTCATTTAAGAATTGATTCATATGAGCACCCAAGGCTTGATCACCATTAAATAAGTTGGTCAATTGAATGATCATTCTGGGGGCGAAAAAAAGGAAACATTTTGTTAGAGTTTTTATTTCATTGTTTTATTTCATTAATTAAACTTACTTTTGTGGTTCAATCAAGACCTTCAATTTGTCAACCATTAAGAAAGTTTTGCCATTTTTGGGATGTAAGGAGGGCTTGAATTTAACCGAGAATTTGGAGTTTTCTAGTGTAATATCGGCATTACCATCACCGCGTATGGGTAAAATTAAAATGCGTCCATCGGCAGTGTATTTGCCGCGTATAGTGATCTTTGGTAAAATGCCATACATTTCAAATTTGGAAGTAGCAGGATCCGCTCCAAAACCACTGGAAAGAAATTAGAATAATTATATAATTTTAAGAAATCTTAAGCGATAAAAACTATAGTTTATTGATTACTGAGCAAGTCTATTGACAAATCTATTGACTAGTTTATGGACTAATCTATTGACTAGATTATGGACTAATCTATGTTTAGTATGTGGACTAGACTATGGACTAGTCTATATAATGGTCTATGGACTAGTGTATGGACTAGTCTATAAATCTATTGACTAGTTTATGGACTAATCTATTGACTAGATTATGCACTAATCTATGTCTAGTATGTGGAGTAGACTATGGACTAGTCTATATAATGGTCTATGGACTATTGTATGGACTAGTCTATAAACTAGTCTATTGACAAGTCTATATGCTAGTCTCCAATATGTGGACAAGTCCATTGACTAGTCTATTAACCAGTATATGGAGTAGTCTATGGACTTGTCTTATGGCTAGTCTATTGACTAATCTATGGACTAGAATATAGTCCACTGACTAGTCTATGTACTAGTCTAAGTCCTAGTATATTAATTAGTCTATGGACTAATCTACTGACTAGTCTATGTACTAGTTCTTTGACTAGTCTATGAAGTATATTATAGTATATTGACTAGTCCATTGACTAGTTTATGGACTAGTATATTGTCTAGTCTATACTTGAGTCTATTGACTAGTCAATTGACCAGTATGTGGACTTGTTCATTGACTAGTCTATTGACCAGTATATGGACTAATCACCAGTCCACTGACTATTATATGAACTAATCTATTGACTAGTCTTTGATTAATGTATGGACTAGACTATAGACTGATCTATGGTCTATGGACTTGACTATTGGCTAGTCTATGAAGTAGTCAATTGACTAGTCTATAGACTAGTCTATTGATTAGTCTATAGACTAGTCTACTGACTAGTCTATTGACTATTCTACTGACTAGTCTATTGATTAGTCTATAGACTAGTCTATTGACTATTCTACTGACTAGTCTATGGACTGGGCTATTGACTAGTTGTCTATGATTTGATTTGTCTATGGACTAGTCTGTTGACAAGTCTACTGACTAGTCTGTTGACAAGTCTATGGACTAGTCTACTGACTAGTCTATTAACTCGTGTATGAACTACAGTATTGACTTATCTATTAACTGGTCTATGGACTAGTCTATTGATTAGTCCATGGACTTGTCTACGGACTATTCTATGGACTTGTCTACGGACTATTCTATGGACTAGTCTATTGCTTATCCTATGGACTAGTCTACGGACTATTTTGTGGACTAATCTATGGCCTAGTCTATGTCCTAGTCTATTGATTAGTCTATGGACTAGTCTACTGACTAGTCTATGGCCTAGTCTATTGACTAGTCTATGTCCTAGTCTATTGATTAGTCTATGTACTAGTCTTCTGACTAGTCCACTGACTAGTCTATGGACCAGTATATTGACTGGTCTATAGATTAGCCTATTGACTAGTGTATGGATCAGACTGTTGACTAGTCTATTGACTAATTTATAGACTAGTCTATTGACTGTTCTATGGACTAGTAAATAAACTATCGTATTGATTAGTCAATGGACTATTCTATGTTCATTAACTTCGGTTTTTAAGTATAAATGAAAAAAAAATCTCGTATATTCAAAGAGTTTTTGTATAAAAAAATTAAAACTTTGCAATAAAAAAATTATACTAATAAGTAATCCTTTAAAAACTTAAAAACCAATTCAAAAAATAAATTTATAACATTTCTATACTGTTGCCAGGCAAAAGCATTAAGCCACAGGCAAACAAAATTTATTATTTAAAAATCGAAAAAAAAAAATTACTGTGATACTTTTTGGGTCGACACACAAAAACCGCCTTTGATTTAAAAAAAAAGAAGTCCACAAAAAATGTTATATAAAAAACTTATACATTTTGCCACAAAACAAACTCTACTTACACAGCACGATCGAAATTCACACCAGACAGACCCGCAACATCAACATCGCGGAAATTTAATTTTAAATTTAACGAACCACCATGACCATCTGATATATCGAGTTCTTTCAAATGGAATGGTTCAATGGGTGGAAATGCTGCTGAGGGATAACCTGTGCGTGCATGTTTTCGTATTAAATTTACAGAGGTACGCACCACACAATCGGTATCACCCGTATGACAACGGGGTATATCGGCGGCTAAAATGAAAAAGATTAAAAATAAAGAAAAAAAATTTAAAAAATTATGCCAAAAAAATTTACAACAAAGTGAAATATTTTGGTTTTAAAGGAACATGTGAGTGACTGACTGACTGGTTTGGTAAAATTGTGATTTTAATAAGAGGCTTGGCTTTATATTTTTAAGTAACGAGATTTTATTTCGATTCTTTTGCTGCTTCAAAAGTTGCAACTTATATTATAGAACTTGTTTTACTAAAGTTTAGTTTGTATACATTGAGGATCATAAGAATAAGATCAGTTTATTGAAATATGAAAATTGAAACCAAAACAGTTCAGATTTCTATAATATAGTTTTGTAACAATTTAAATTATATACATATATATTTTGGATTCTTGTAGATTGAGGAATCGAATAAGCTTTGTCCGTCTGTCGGTGCAGGTGTCCGTCTGTCGGTGCAGATGTCCGTCTGTCTGTTTATTGAAATTAATGTTCTGCAGATCTGGGGTCTTTGGGATCCAAATTTTCAATAAGATATACTTCCGAAAAGTATCCTGTTTACAATTAGCAAAATCTTTTTATAAATAACAGAAATATGGGCTGTGTAGACGAATTCTCCCCCACCGTTTGACAGTTTATTTGTGTGACTATATAATCTTTGTGTTAAAAGTTATACGAAACGCAGTATTATGTGTTATCGAATATTTATTGGTTTTATTTATTTATTTAAATAATTTTCTTAATCAATAATGTCTGAACATTTATTTTGGGCAAGTGTGCTTATTTTTTTCAATTCTAAACAAAGTTGACTTTAAAGTAAATATTTACATTATAATTTAAGAAGATTTTTTCTTTGTTGCAATTTTAAAATAGAAATTTGCGCATATGTATATCTTAAAAAAATCTAAAATCTTTAAAACTTAGTTAAATAATTGTTAAAAACAGACAATCTTTAAAAAAACATAACTTTGAAATTAAAACAAAATTTATTGAAGAAATTTTATTATTTTTTATTTAAATCTGAAAGATTGGTCTTTATTTCATTACTACTTGGGTCTAAGACAGCAACGAGTTTGCCGATTACTATTCTAAACCATTAAAATAAAGTTTAAATTTGATCCATAGATAGCTTTGAAGATTTAATTATTAGTCAATTACACCTTAGCCGATAATCGTAAAGCTTTTAACTATTACCCATACTTAGATCTTTCTATAATGAAAAATATAGACCAATATTACGAGCGATATCGTGCTAATTTATCAGACTATAGGTCGTTGTTTCAATTTCCACCAGATACTCCGAATTTTTCAATTATATTATAAACAATTTTCCAATTGAATTTCAAAAATGTTCATTTAAATTCGAGATATAGACTCTCTCTGTTTAAGGCACTATAGGGTCTAAAGAAGAGGACCCTCGGGTACAATTTTCCATAGTTATTATTCCAGATCAGAAATGTTTGATATTGAAAATAGGCTAAATCGCTTAACCAGAAATACATTTTTAACATAATTTCTATCCGTCCGTCCATTCGCCGCCCCAAAAATAATTAAAAAATGCACTAGACCCCCTAAACAAAAGGATCATAAAGTAGTACAGATTCATATAGACGTTTAGATAAAATGGTTAACAATTAAACATGAAAATTCAACCGATTAAAAGTTTCGTTGTTGCAAACAAAACGTTCATCAAAAAATGTTTGAGACCCATTTGAAAAGGATATGCTCTAATAATTTCGACAATGTGGCCACAAATAGGTCATAGATTGGAATCGTATGAAGTTTTGAATTAAAATATATAAAAATCCTGAGAAATCCATGAAATATATTATTCTGGATCCTTAAAGAATTTTCTGAAAATATCCCGAACTTTTCCTCTATCTGTGCATCTTTTGAAGGCACAATAGTCTGGGGTCTGAGGTGACCTAGGAGGAAAATATTTTCTCAGAATATTATCTGATGATCCGAAATATTTTGTATTCAAAATAGACAAAATCGCTTAATCAGAAAAAATCACAATAAAATGTCTGTCCGTCCGTCCGTCGATAGGGCCTAAACGAAGCCTGAACTTTTAAACAAAGTCTGTGCGCCCTCTGCTAAAAACAGACACAAATTCTATAGGGCCTTAGGGAAATCTTAACTTATAAACAAAAGCTAAATTTTTAAAATAAACTGAAAAGTGTAAAAAGTTTAAAAACAGAATATTAGAAAATCGTTCATTCAAACAAAATGTCCGTCCAGACGCCTTATAAAAAACAAGCAAATGTCTACAGTTGAAAGCAGTAAAGGCCCCAGAGTGGTGGACCTAAATAAGGGGAAACATTTTCTCAAAATATTCTTTGGTAATTAGAAATAGTTGTCGTTAAAAATAGGCAAAATACCTTAATCTGAATAAATTCAAAATAAAATGTCCGTCCGTCTGCTGCCTAAAAATCAGCAAATAGGCTATAGGGTCTAAGGCCTTTATATAGTTGAAACAAAATGGTTTGAACCAACAAAAAGTTATAATCAAACCAAAATTTTGAAAATATTTGAAAATCGTTGTTTCTTATAAAATGTCTGTCTGTCCACCATTCGATAGGGTCCAAACAAAGGGACCAAGAAAGCTAAAATTTAAAAGTGAACCCAAACCGGGTTGAAAGAACCCAGAAAGCTGAAGATTGACAAGACTAATTCCTAAGAAAATTTTGAATTTTTTGAAAAAAAAAAATGGTTCAAACCGAAAATGTCCGTCTGTCTACCATTCGATAGGATCCCAACAAAGGGGCCAAGAAAGCCAAAATTTAAAAGTGAACCTAATAGGTTAAAAGAACCCAGAAAGCTGAAGATTGGCAGGACTAATCCCTAACAAAATTTTGAATTTTTGAACAAAAATGGTTCAAAACAAAAATGTCCGTCTGTCCACCATTCGATAGGGACCAAACAAAGGGGCCAAGAAAACCAAAATTTAAAAGTGCACTCAACCCATCTGGAAAGTACCCAGAAAGCTGAAGATTGGCAGAAGTAATCCCTAAGAAAATTTTGAATTTTTTGAACATAAATGGTTCAAACCGAAAATGTCCGTCTGTTCACCATTCGATAGGATCCCAACAAAGGGGCCAAGAGAGCCAAAATTTAAAAGTGAACCCAACCCATCTGGAAAGTACCCAGAAAGCTGAAGATTGGCAGGCCTAATTCCTAACAAAATTTTGAATTTTTTTAACAAATATGTTTCAAACCAAAAATGTCCGTCTGTCCACTATTCGATAGGGTCTACACAAAGGAGCCAGAAAGCAAAATTTTAAGCCAGGTTGAAAGAACCCAGAAAGCAGAATTTTGATAGGACTAATCCCTAAGAAAATTTGGAAATTTTTATTAAAATAGTTCAAACAAATGTCGCTATTTTTAGATTTAAATTAAATTTCAATAAAATTTTAAACTTACGAAATGTTGAGGCCGCTTTAGTATTTGAAAAGAACAACATGCTGCAGCACAGAGTTGCCAGACATAAAAATGCTAAATTCGACATTTTTTTTTTAGTTTTAATTTAACACTTTTTTTAAATTAAAATATTTTTAGAGTTTTAAACAAAATTTTTTTTTTTTAATAAATTTTTTCCCAAAATTTTATTGGTTCACTACAAATACAATTGTTAATTTTTTTTTTATTAATTATTTTTTTAATTTACATAAAACAAAATTTTTTTAATTTTTATAAAATTTTCTTTGTTATGTTTGATTTTTAAAGGATCCAATATATAGTTTGATTTTATTTTTGCAATGTCTGAACCAATGTCAATGTTAAACTGAATTAAATTCTAGACCTACGCTGGCATTTATAATATTTTTTTCTTTATTCCATTGGCGATTTTTTTTTGTTATTGTTTTCATAAAGCTGGGCTAGAAAACAAAAACTTCTTCTTGTTTTTTTTTTTGCTTTTTGGTCAACAGCTAGCGTATCATTAATATTGACAACTTCTAGATCTACAGAATGTTGTATGAGAGTATAGGAATCTACTACTACTACAACTACTACTACTACTTACCACATAACTTACTATTCCTCTAGTTTTGGTGTTGTATTTTTTTGCTTGATTTTTTTTTTTGTACAATCTTTGCTAAATTGATTATAATTTGTTGTATTTTATGTATTTATTTTAGTCATCATTATTAACATTACGAATTATGTATACGATTTTGTATATTCTGTTTATAAAGACAGACGACTACGTCGACTTAAGTACAACGTATTCGTAGTCGTTGTCGTCGTCTACGTTATGTTGTTTGTTTTTCGCTTGTTATTCTTTGGCTGTTCCTTTTCGATCGAAATTGTTAGTGTTCAATTCTGACTGGAGATCTTTTACAAAACAAAAAAAAAAAACAACAACTAACGTATTATTATACATACCCCTTCATTTGTCCACTTTTATTTACCGGTAAAATATTTTATATAAAAAAAGTTATCTTCGTCATCGTTTCATTAACTTCATTATCATAAGTTCGCTTTCATACATATAAATTAGTTTGGGAACTGTTAGCAGGTCTTAACAATTTTGGTTAAAAAAAATATTTATTCATTTACTAAATTGTATGTAAATACTTGTATCGGTAGTATCATCATAAATAATTCGAAACTCAAAATATAGCACATACCCTATAGTTATTCCAGACTGTTGTGAAGGGTGTGTAATTAATGTATTTGGTTGGACTTACTTGGGTAATGTTTCCTAATTAAATCAGAATCATATTCAGATACGGTTTAGATGGTCCAGCCTCTTGGCCATCATTTGCTACTATAGTATCAAATAATTAGTTTATGGGCTAGACATTGTCCTGACTATGATGTAGATTATAATATTGCCTATTGACTACCCTAATGACTGGACTATGTATGAACTAGTCTACTGACATCTTAATTGACTAGAATAAGGACTAGTCTATGAACTAGTGTATGGACTAGCCCATGAACTATTCTATGAACTATTCTATGGACTAGTCTATGAACTAGTCTATGCACTAGTCCATGAACTAGTATATAGAGTAGTCTTTGAACTAGTCTATGGACTAGTCTAAGAACTAGTCTATGGACTAGTCTAAGAACTAGTATATAAACTATTGTATGAAATAGAATATAAACTATTCTATGGACTAGAATATGAACTAGTCTATAGACTAGTCTTTGAACTAGTATATGAACTAGTCTATGAATTAGCCTATGAGCTAGTCTATGAACTATTCTATGTACTAATCTTTGAGCTAGTCTATGAACTAGTCTATGGACTAGTCTATGAAGTAGTCTATAGACTGGTCTTTGAACTAATCTATACTATCTAGTGAATTATTCTATGAAC